AGAGGGGCCAGTATTGATCCTTGCGGCAGGCCCACATTATTTCTCATGTAACACTGTTCATTATTGACTCTAACAGCTTGTGATCTGTTTTGTAAATATGATTTGATCCAATTTATAGCATCAGGAGAGAAATTAAAGAGTGTTAATTTTGTGAGGAGAACATCGTGGCTGATGGTGTCAAACGCATCCAATCATTTAATTAAACAGCCTTAATTTTGGGGAATATATAAAAAATTATGCTAAAATTTGTAGTTACCCATCCGTCGTTACAATATTTAGTCGTTATAGTCACAGTAAGAGTAATTAGTTAGATTAGCATGTGCAGTAGAGGACGCAATGACATCACAGGCCAGCGTGTTTCGCGTTTACGGAAGTAAACATGGATGGTAGTGCCGGAGCACATCTAGCGATCTTTCCCAACCATAAAAACAATTTTTTCAAGATGGTTAAATATAAATACTGCTCTCCGCATCATCGTCCGCCATGGTTGTTTTTTTTATCTTACTGCTTCTTCATAGCAAGAGCCAGAATAGTGATCTATGTCGGGTATTAATGGCGTTCAGGTCGGATGAATGCGACCTGGCCGTTCAAACACAGGTCGCATTTAAAAAGATCAGATTCGTATCGGATTCAGGACCACAGAGCCAAGTGGTCTGGATCGCATTGGAAAAAAATCGGGTCTGTGTTGTTCAGACTGTTATGAAAAGATCGGATCCAGGTCGCATATGGGCCAAAAAAAATCGGATTTGGGTCACTTCAGGCTGCGGTGTGAACGTAGCCTAAAACAGACATGGCTACGGCTTGATGCTTAAATGTTTGTTAGCTGTCAGTATTTCCTCAGAATTCTGAGATTAAAGTCAGAACTGCGAGATATTATTTCTGATATTTTACTGAAATAAATTTTTAAAATCACTTTTTTTTTTCAGTGTCCCTGATCCTGCTGCGTAGTTTAATGTTTTAAGTATATAAATAAGTATTTTCAGTACCGTTATTACCAAGTTTTTTGCGACCTGGAATTTTTTTGTTTTGTTCGCGCATGCGCACAACGGATTTGATTTCGGGACGGATCGGGCAGTGACAGGGGGCGGGGCCACTGTGGCTCAGTTCTCTGATAACAAACAGGGCATGCGCAGACCGCGTCATCTCCTTACAGCCAGCCTCCGGTAGATGGCGCTAAAGCGCATCAGTCGCCAAGCGCCACAAAACAAGAAGAAGAAGAGGAAAAACACAAAAAGAAGCGGGAAGAAGTAGGGTAAACAAAAATGGAGGTCTCAGCCCCAGACTTTTTGATAACGTCTTCAAACGACCGCGGTCGGTCCTGGGGGGAAACAGAGACCAGGGATCTGATTAAAATATGGGCGGATGACACGATCCAGGCGATGCTGAACGGATTAACATTTAATCATAAAGTTTTCGTTCAAATTTCTGAGGTGATGAAGTGTAGGGGCTACGACCGAAACCCGAAGCAGTGCCGAGAGAAGATAAAGAAGCTCAGATTAGATTATAAGAAGATCGTTGGGGAGAAGAAGAACGGATCAGAGAAAGGAGAAACAACATGGAAGTTCTTCGAAGCCATGCATGAAGTTTTAGGTCGTCCTGCACCGACCTGTGGTCGGAACTCTGCAGCACGTGGTAGGTTCTGGAAACATCCTCCTTTCATTTCTATAGAACATCTGGAGAATAAATAGCAGCTGCTTTATCACCATGAGCCGGAATCTAACAATCCACACTGGAGATACAGGGAAACTAAACAGATCTATACTGTAAACCTTTTAATTTCCATTTTTAGAGGAGGAGGATGATGATGATGAAGATGATGAAGAAGATTATTATGATGATGATGATGATGAGACAACAACATCAGAAGATGAGGAAGAGGATGGTGAGTAGCCTCTACACATTATTTATGCTTCACTAACTTTATTTGATCAGGATTAAAATCCCTAATCTGCTGAGATTATAAAGTCTGTCAAATTGAATCTTTTTATTATTTTTCTCTATTAGATTTAAAGGTTGATCATATTTTAACTCTATAATACAGGAAGTAGCTGTGCTTTTAAACTGAAAGAGCCAGCATGTATTAGGAATTAGTTATTATCTCATTGCTTTTTCATTTGACAAATTGGTTGATGTCTCCCTTCTCTTTCTAAAGTGAAGCTATATATATATATACATATATATATATATAGATATATATATATATATATATATATATATATATATATATATATATTATGTATATATATATATGTATGTGTATATGTTTCCATTCTAGTCCTCCTAACTGCTGTAGTCAATCCTGCTCTGAGCAGCAGATATCTTGGTGCTTGACTCCAGAGTCTCTCTTTGCACTTTGGCTCCCCCTGGTGGCCCTAAGCTGCCATCACAAGTTAAAAGAAGACCTTTGCTAAGTTTGCTCACAATCAGAGTGAGACCTGTACTGGTGAGGGGGCGTGTACTGCTGGCATAAGGCGCTTCACTGATGTGAAAAACGCAAACATGGATCAGCTGCTGGTGGATGACCCGATCAGCGAGGGTGAGATTATCTGGGGAGTTTCACACCTGAAGTGCTTCTGGAGGTCGACTGTGCTGCACTGCAGGCTCCTCCTCCTCTGACGCTCAGAGAAATGGCCGCAGGCGGCGCTACTGGTTGCATCCTGCTGGCAAAGCTGCTATTTGAGGCCAACAGCTTCCTCGTTTCTTTCACTACTTATGTGGCACTAAGTTATGACGTCAGAGGAAAGGGAGGAAATCCAAACTTTTTAGACTGGAGTCCCATCTGACTTATATTACTTATGTTGGAATTACTTACGGAATAAAATAATTACCATTTTCATTCATTATCAATCTAAAAATGTGCTTTCGGTCCCCAGAAGTAAATGCAGAAAGATATCTTTTCTGTGTCTGTTTGGGTGTTTCACTGCCGTCTTTTCACTGGTAGAGAATGAAACCTGGGCTCAGTTGTCTCATTTCAAACAGATGGAGGCTTTCTGGAAAC